ATCTGATGGGTTCTTAGCGCGGTCTGTATTTTGATATATCTGCCCACGGGCACCGCAAACACTTTCGTGAGTCGCAGAGTCATCCGTTTCTTCGTTGCCATTCTTCATAAATAAATTTCGTTTTGCCAGCTGGGCATTATTTTTAAGCAAAGACGTGGGTCACGACCTCAAGCCGATAAATAATTTATTAATCCTCTCTTTTCTCTCTCTCTCTGTCTCTTTCCCAAGTCGCTTTAAATGCCAGCAAAATATTGGTTTAAAATGGAATTTTGGTAGAAAAATTGTGTCATTAAATGGGTTGACTTGCGGCCTAAAAACTGTTTGTAATTAATTTCAGTAGTCACTACTTTGCTCACGCGTAGTAGTCACAAAAACGTCTCACTAAAAAAATCGAAAATGGTATATCCATTCCTATACATAATATTCCCTATTGCTCTTGAAGAACCCATTTCGAAAACACACTAGTGTGTGGCAGCATGGAGAAATTTAGCCGCGACTCAAATATTTCTCTTTCCTTCGCTTATGTAAATGTGACATCTCTTTTTTTTGCAGAGTTGAATTAATGCCGTATCTCCAAAACAATTCGGCGAAAGGATAACAGTTAAACATTGCTTTTTTCTCTTTTTGGATTAAGCGTGGCAATTTCCAATTCTGCATAGCCAAGACTACTAAAGATGGGGAATGCGAGTTATCCAAGAAAGAAAGAATTTTATGGTGTTCCATCTTGAGCATCCATCACCGCCGCCGGTTTCATCTGTCTCTTGCTCGTAAACATACGTCCAGCTTCGCAAGAAGCTGTTATTGGGAAGAATTTATCGTACTTTGACCTATTTCGCTGTTTGTTTTTAATTTTTTTTCGGTTAAACTTTAATATAATTGAAGCCTGTCCGAAAGTAATGTATCTGTGTACATTCTCATCGAGAAGAAATGCTAGTCGCCTCTCTTACGACACCATAAGCCCGCGCTGTGCTTCGTGGAAGAGCAAAAAACAAAGAAAACATAGTTGGTAAACACACTTTTTGAACAGAAATGAAGTTCACTGAGAACTTGAACTCGAGAGAACTTCAAATATGTGACATTTAATGCCTAGAAGCCACGTGCGAAGCCGGCCGCTCAAAAAAAGCTTGGCTTGAACTTTCTCTGGAGAAGAGTACGTTTCCTTACGATAAATAAGGACATTTGCCGTCAGGCGAGATTATTCATCATGCGATGTACGACTACTAGGTCTAAAGCCCATCAAACACAACTATTAATGAGTTCAACAGGGTAATTTAGTGTTATCAACTAAGTTGAAAACGTAAATTGGCCACCGTAAAGAGTTTAGAGGCTGACGTTTAGAGGCTGACTTCAAGACAAGTAATCGTTAAAATTTCATCCCGAGAATAAAAAAAACACTCCGGAAATTAATAAATTAACACCTGTTTACAAAAGTTGCCAGATTAAGCAACATAGGCTTGAATACTAAGATAAAATAGCTCATAACTTTCAATTTTTGGGAAAGGTAACATTTAGTTTCTGTTTTCAACGACAAGTAAATTCGTCAAAATTTCAAAATCTTCAGTTCCTCGTTCTTTCTGACAACTGGCTGCAAGTCCACGTGGCCTTTGACTAATACTGAGTGACTTCATCAAAAGAGGTAAGCGTTAGCGAAGGGGAACATTCATTGCCCTAGAAGTGCAAATCTGAGGTCCTGCCTTTCCAGTACTAAGACAATGGGGAAAGTATATTGCCAATCAAAAAGGAAGGTATGGCTTGAATTATTTAGTTTAGCACGTTTTTACTTCCACAACTGATTTGTAGTTTCGTTGCCGGCAATTTAAAGTTGTAGCAATCGACCTTCGTTGCGTTTGATGTACGTTTGAACTTTCACTTTAAACATGAATACTAAATTTTTGACACTTGGTAAACCTATGCGATTTCCTGTCGGTTGCTCTCTGCAGACTTGGCAAAAGCAAAGCCTTTGTTTGCAGCTCATACATGACCACCAAAAAGACAAGAATTGAATTATCTTATCTCATGTTCTACGAGAATAAGATGAAAAACGGAATGTTTCCTCCAATGACTAATCGTCTACTTCAACATCTAGAGCAATCAAACTACTAAGCATTCGTGTGGACTTTCCGGACTTGCTTGCACAGGAGGGTGCTTCGGCATGGCAGACGATGAAGCATGAAGTAACCCCAATGGTCTGACCTGCGTCAGTGACTCAGAAGAAAGCGATGAAGAGAGTAGCTTTGAAGAGGAACTGTAAAATAGTTGACATATGAGGCATCCATGTTTACAAGGTTAGTTTTCTGTCGATTATTGTTGGAGATAAGTCACTTTAAAGCTCAACACACCAAAATAATAAAATAATATCGTGTTGCAATAAGTATCTCTCTGAGGTAAAAGGTGGTGTAAATACGAGATTTGGAAAGATGACACAAGTATGATTTCGTTTGGAAGGAGGAAGGCAGATTTAGGCCCCTCAGATGTCACGTGCTTGGTCATGTGACATAATTTGCAGAGGTTGAGTATGACTGGCCTTCTGTCATTAAGAGCTGATTACATAATTAGACGTTCTTTTCATAAAAATAGAAGAAACGGCCGCAAACAGTGGTTACTAGAGTGAGCCTCTTTTTCATGTCAAATCGTATTTGAAATTGGGCGAAAATGATGTTTATCTCATTGCTTTAAGCTGTGGATTGTACCACCGTAGATAGATAACAGCAGATTACTGATGATATTTCATAAACTTGTGCCACAGAGGAAGTATAATAGATATTCATTTGACAGCTCTAAAAAGCTATTTTAGCTCCTCTGAGGTCATGTGGTAGGTCACATGACCTCAATTTGCACATCCTAAGCATAATTTGGATTCATATTACTAAGATGTAACTATAATTATTATCAGTGGTTAAATGGCTGCGCCTTGTTTCCATGAATTGAAAGGGTGACGTACAAAAACGCCTCCTTAACTCATAACTAATTCTTAATTCAACTCTACAAACTACCTAACATAAACCTGCAGGTATTATTCGATCAAATCCGCGATCAAACCTTTCCTGACCCAATCATTACAAGCAAACCTATTTATGGTGTCCCGGATTAAGGACTAATTTTTTGCTCTTTCTAATTTACATAATCCATAATCAGCCGGTGGGCGTTACCGTTGTCCAATGCCCTGCTCTGAAGTCGCTCTTAGCCAATGAGGGCGTGCATTATGTTGGCCACAAGCCAAGACCACATAAAATATATAGATAAAATCTCTCTGATGATCGCGTAAGCGTGAAACTCAGAGTCACATGTCTCACTGACTAGATCAATCTTCAGATATACCACGCTCAGCGAACGCATTGAGCACTATACCGCAAGGATAGACTATAATCAAGATATACATATATATATAAACAGATATAATATATATAATATAACATACATTAAGGTATGTTAGTGATAAAGGGGTTAAATAGCAATTGGAACGGAAGTTCTGGAGCTGCAGAGGGGAAAAGAAATAGAACTGCCGCTCCAATTGCTATCTAACCTCTTATATCCCCAACATATTTAGAAATATAAATACATATATATATATTTAACATTACTTTGCAGAAGGCAAAGTGAATATTGTTGAACGATCCCTAAGACGAAGTCGAGATGATTATTCAACATTCTTCATTGGGCCTGAGGCGAATAGCTGTTTTTATTAGTATAATTCATGAGACGCTTTCAAATTTTCGTAACAGTGTTTTGTAAATTGAAACTTGTAAATTCTGTCACAATAGTTTGGATTACTTGCATAAAGATAAGCCAGTTTTCACTAGATTTCAACAGACTAATTTCACTAGCATCTTTTGCGCTCTTCAGAATTTAATTTTCTCTTATGACATTTGTCATTTGCTGCGTCACATTCTCAAAATGCAAGGGAGCCATGTTAAAATTTGGCGCTCCCGCTATAATTACCTCACGCAAGGTGATTAAAGCGAGATATGATGCACTTCTCGACCAATCAGAGTGCGTGAATCTCTATAATCACCCAAGCAATTATACTAAAAACATGTATCAATGGCCAGGAGGTTTATAAGTTTCTGGTTTTGAGAGATGAATAGTGTGTAGGGTGGTTTTAAAAAAGTGGAAAAAGAATGGATTGTTTTTATACTAGATTTTAACAAGCTCCAAAGTTCAGCATTTCTAATGAAATATGATTTCCTTTCATAATCCTGATTATTTCTGTAGATTAAGTTATCATTATTGATGTAAAATTTACGTGTAAGATAATATGGCTCAAATCACGCAAGTAGGTCTGATATTTCTCCACAATAATCAAGAGGCGGTAAGAGAAATTACCATTTAAACTTAATTTCTCTGGTAAAGAGGCAGATATTGAATATGGCAGTTAAAAAGATTGTCACGGAATGTCGGCAACAATAGATCTGTACTTGCACAAGTGCAACCCTAATGCCAAAATGTGATCGGTGAGAGTAACAAATCCTAATGCTACAATATCGTTGCAATGGCCTGGGCAAAATGGTATTTCTGGCCATTTACGTCGTTTTTGTTTGTTTGTTTGTTTGTTTTTCTCTACAGGAAATGTAATATAAATGTGATGTACTCCAAGGAAGCATGTCTGGTGTAATTTTGATGACTGACTTCTAAATCTAGAGATTAGCATACCGTTCATGTTTGCTTTTTACCTGATCCTGACAACAGAGATCGAATACTTGCGCACATGCAAACACCAAAACAGTTAAGTATCTCACAGAGCGGGGCAGCATAGTGCTTGCAGGTTACACAACCTCCTAAATCAGAAAGTCATGGAAATCAATTATCCAGGCACCGCATTTGTCTTTCCTTTCTCTGTCTTTAGATGAAAAAAAAGAGTGAAGGTTGTAATCACTCCACAGAACAGTCCGTTACTTTTGTGTTATTTGGCAGTCGAGTACTCAGTATAAAGTGGCAAAGCCTACGAATAATGAAATGTAAAATGGATTCCCGCCCTCAAAAAGTATATCTCCTCAAACGCCACACATGCAAATATGTGCGCAAATCTTAGGCATGCAGTTTTAGTTTCAGCCCATTTCCACACCTACCAGCTGATTTCGGCTATCAGTAAAAAAAATTATGTAATTTCTCAGCTGACAGTTAACATTTTGAACAATTCTACGATTTCCATTGCGCCCCAACCAAAAGTCCTCACACAGAATCAGAATATGCGCTAGCCTTGTGCGCTATTCAAACGGAGTTGGCTTTAAACCATTTTCTGAGTTAAACATAGTCCAACTAAAGCAATGGCTTCGTAAAGAAATTATCACGTCCTTCTGAGCAAAATAATGGGAGCAATGATTCCACCTAAATTCAGTTGTCCCAACCAATACTTGGGACCAATGCATGCATATAAAGCGGAAAAGGATTTGAGGTGGCATTCTGAACAGATTCATCAGTTTTGTATAACTGGCCCCGATAACAGGAGTCACACCGTAAATAGAGTTAATTCAGAAATAGAAAATCAAGGTTAGATATACTTACAGTAAACTACAATTGTTGTGTCACTGGAAGTGACTTCCACTGAGTTATTAGCCTCACATGTATATTGTCCTGCATCTGTTCTGTTTATGTTATCGAACTTTAAAAACGTAGCTTTCTTCCCTGAACTTTCCGGTACTCCATTTCTAATCCATGCTACATCCGGCAGAGGTTTCCCAGAGGCTTCACAGGCTATGGTGACAGGGGAACCTTCAATGTAATATTTTCCTTCTAAAGAGGGGTTTATAACGGGTGCCTCTGAAAGGTAAAAGAGATAATATCATTCCTCATTCCCCATTCATCGGGCTAAGGAATTTTTGTTGCTGCACAAACAAATAGGAACAAAGCCCGTAAAGCCACACCTCATTTGGAACTTGGCCCCACGAAAGATCTTCTGAAGACATCCTCAACCCAGAGAACTAAAACTTTGATGAAAGAGAAACTATGGATTCTTCGGGATAAATAGAATACACCAGTGGCATACTGAATGCGGCTTGCCCATTACTTAAAGTTTAAAGAAGAACTTAATCATCTCCTTGTACTGATCGTTTTTTTAATCAAACATTAGATAATCTAATTGTTCATCATGATTGTTCTGCAAAGGGAGTTTGCAGAAGGGAGAGTTTTGGACGTTTCCT